CTTCTGTCAGTATTCAAACACAAAGCCAAAACTGAAGGAGTGGACTCAGATGAGAGGAACATTTGTTGTTTTCTTGAAGGTACAAATGCTTCAGTGGCTGCTGGCCTGCTTTTGTGCAGACAGGCAGTGTTCTGGAGTGCTCGTATCTGGACAAAAACGCTGGAAGTTTCTAGCTGAATAGTGTTCTTGTGCTATGAAGTCTTGGCTTCCTTTCTGGCGCTATATAAACCTCTAATTTTTTGGCTGGAACTTTGTCAACCTCACGTGTGCAGATTCCAAGGAATCCCACATACTGTATGTTGAAGAACATAACAGATGACTGGCCAATTTTCTGCATGTGATGCGAAGCAGTGAATTAGTCATGTTCTCTGCTCTGCACATGTAGGAGTTTCCTACTAGACGCAAAGCTTCTGAACAGCCTTCTTTTGCAAACCTTATGAAATACTGGTTAGAAATAGAACCTATTCCTAGGGCAGATACCAAATTTGTAGCTGGTGACTTTTTCTTTGTTTCTTACAGAGTAGATTCAAATTCTCAATCTAGAAACATTTATCTCAGCTCCAAATCCAGATCCACATGGTCCCTGTTTTTCAAATTTTCTAATACAGTGCTTCAGCTATTCTTTTTACACTGATTTATTTTGAAGAAAAAGGTGTAATGAGTTTTGGCTCAACTCCAGGGATCAGCCCTGTACAGAATGCATGCATGTAAATACATTTTACATTAAGAAAAAATTGATTATAGATCAGTCCTTAGTCATGAATTATGCCTTATGGCTTATCATGGAGACAATAAAAAGTACGTTTCTGTAATTTCTTGAATATTTGTCAGTAATGATCTGGATCTCCGCCTAATCTATTTTAAGAAATATGCTATAAATGTAGATTTATCACTCTGCTGCTGTGGTTGAAAATCCAAATCAAATACTGCCCTCAATATTGTATGTGTAGCTCACATAGGCCTTAGCTGTATGCTCAGGATAAAGACTACCCTTTTGAAAATACGTAGTAGAGGTAATGATAATAAGAACAGATTTACAGCTAACTTTTAAATACCAAAGCCTCTTCTAATGACATTTTCTCCTTAGCATTCACAACCTTGGCATAGTTCTAGAGCATAATAAAAGAGGATGTATACGATATATACAGGCAACAGCTCTTTTTCATACTGTCCACATGTATTAGCTCTACTTCAGTAGAAGAAATGACAGAGCTGCAGTTCTACTGAAAATGAAACTGTGGTGTCATAATTGCTGCTCTGAGGGTCAACTCAATTGTATAGTATGGTTCTGCTATTCTTTCATTTTCTGTTTTCATCTTCTTTTTGTTTGTGCCCGCACTCAAACTGCAGCCTTATGAGCATTAGAACATGCTTGAAAAAAAAAATCCTATATGACTAGATTCTATTTCATTTAGTGTTTGACAGTGAGTTGTCAACAGTGCAGCACAGCACACAAAACATGGTGCTGCTCTGTCAGGCTCGTTCTTGTGATAACCTTCTTCTCCCTGTTGAATTAGATACTTATTTTTCACTACCTAATCCAGTAAAAAACAACTGTTTATCACATAGATCCTTTTACTGTCATTGTTCTCAGTTTGCAAAGAAAGTGTCAGAGGAGCATTTATTAATCTTGATGGCTAAGCCTTGAGACAGGCAATTAATGAAGCTGCGTATTTTCTCTTGTGCTGGTAATTTTCCCTCTCTTTCCACTGCAGAGTTAATCAAATGCTGAATGTTTATGTTCTATAACAGACTAGTGTTTTTTTTAGCTCTGCTCTGGAATTTAGCTTACAGGCAGCTACGTCCACCTGGCAGCTGGTCCCAGTGGTGTAATTTCGCAGAGAAAAGTGTGCTAAATTACTTTTATATAAATCAAATCATTTTAGATATTGTTTGATTAAAAACAAGACTCACACCTCGGGCACGAAGGACAGGTACTGCCAAGCAAGAGAAGTTTTAGACAGTTTGACAATGGCAAAGCAGTCTAAATAGAAATTCTATTGAGAAGTAACTTTGGCTCTGATGTGGTGAGGTTTATCTCCACTGGTTCCTGCTTAGATAGTGTTAAAAAAAAAAAAAAAAAAAAAGTGATCAAATGAGAAAAATAATTTGCCAAGCAAAAATTAGTTAAAAATAAAAAGTTTGGGGCTAGAAAAAAATTGGTGTAGAAGAATCGTTTAACAGCAGACAAGTAAAACCCAAAAGGCTTTTTAGATCTGTGTTGGAGCTTGGTTCATTTGGCAACAGACTTTTAAGCGTATGAAAAACAAAGTCATATCAAAGTAGAAGGAAAACTCCCTATTGCCCAAGTCACAGGGAAGAAAGTATACTCGAGGCAATTATCAGAGAGCTGTCTGCTTTCTGATGTCATACAGTTATGTGTATTTGAGTTATATGATACCTCCTAAATGTTCCCACTAGCTAGTGTGAATGAAATAAGTGAGATTTAATGAATGAAAATTTCAATGGAGTTTAACATCAGTGAAGCACTTCAACTTTCTGTGAGCATCAGAATGCCACAGTTAATCTGAAATGCATTCAGTCTGGATGTTCAGAAATTAATTGATACAAAGCAGCAAATTAATTTACAAACTCCAAAACATGGGCAAACTAATATGTGTTAAAATGAACTAGAGTATTCATACTGGTAACCTAAAACCATTCAAGGTGGAAGGTAGCATTACAGATTCTCTCTTGGTAGATGATCTTATAACTATTTGCAAGACACCCAAGATATGTTGTGTATCTGTCCCAGACATTCCAATAAATTTGCACTCTGCTCTCTGAGATCTTGTCTAGGTAGTCCCTACTGCACATACAATGAGCGTTAGTGTAAGCACAGCTATTCTCAACAAAATGTCCTTGAGGAAGATTACAGCTTCCTAAAGGGGTAAAATTAATACTGCAAAGTGGAGAAAAAATGGGGTAATTACACTGAAGCAAATTTAAGATGGTGTGCATCGGTCAAAGCCTGAAGTTCATGCTATGGGAGCTCCTCACTTTCAGTATGTTTTGCGAGAGTGGGAAGGTAGGGACTAAAATCTCTGTAATGCTTGCAACATTTTGCACATAATACAGTCTCAAGAGAAAGGTTGGAAGAGGAGTGGCCTTTTTTTACACTTCTTTAGCAACCTGATTTTAGAAAGTTAGCTCAGGGTATTGATAAGGAAGTATATTCTACATATTTTACTTTGAGATGATGCTTCAAAAAATGAAGTTACTTAAACTGCAGATCAGCAGATAGTAGTCAGTAATTCAAAGACCAGTCATTGGCTAGTCATAAAAGGAATTTACTCAGATCTGCACACTGTAGCTTAGAAATGATGATACTAGTGCATGGTGTGCACTTCATTCTCAGAAGAAAATAACAATGCAGGTGAAAATGGCTTGAAAAAGAAGGCTTGTTTTAAATTGGAGTTTAAAAAGTTCAACATAAACTTCTTTTCCCATTCAGGCCTATGGTACATACTAGCTATGTATGTAATGTATAAGTTGCCAGATATGGACCTAATAACTGAAAAATGGGATAATTACTAAGTGAGAGAACAGGAAATATTTTGATTAAAATAGTGTGTTTTTGTTCACATTCCTGTTACAAATGGAGTCCATTGGATTCAGTCACAACTGGTGTATTTCTGTCATACCTGGGTAGTCCAAGGATTTCAGTACTGCTGCGGTTGTTTGTGAATACTGTAATTTGTCTGCTTAGTCAACTCCCTGGTTCTCTGTGGCTGTAAGCCAACAAAAGAACTTTTGCAGAACCTCCTCTTTCACCTTTTGAAAACGATTATTTTTTTTAAAGTCCATTACCTCATATTTTGGATCCAACTCAGATATGTTTGCCCTGCAGATAAAAAGTGAACTGACTTGCTTTGTTACTGATTCATCTATACTGTAGTTCAGTTAGTTTGTTTTGTATTGTTGCTTTTTATTAGGAAATATAAACACCAATATCCTTCAGTGACCATCAACAAAAATTGAAACGGTTCAAGAGAGGTGAATTTCAACTATTACCATTACTGCTATTCACTTGACTATAATGTTAAAATATATGTATATTTGCAGCTTGGGTACATGGCGATCCCAGGAAAGTGATTTATCCAACTGACAGCTATGGGCAGTTCTGTGGTCAGAAGGACGCCTTCAATGAGTGAGTACTAAATCTGAACACCCATCTTTATGACTCATGCACTATGAATAAAAAATGAGGTTTCTAATCCTCTGTCTGCAAGGGTTCTTGAGCAAAGTTGAAGAGACATCAACACTTGACGTCTTCTTACTGCATGTATTCCAAATAAAGTTCAGAAATAGATTAGTTGCTCAGAGGAAATCTAAACATGTATTATTACTATAGTGCAGTTGTTCTCATCATTCAGAGAATATTTTTAGTTAAGTATGAATGTAACTAAGATTGCATCACTAATAGCATTGGAAGTGACTAGCTGGTTCATCTTCTTACAGCAAAGTCTAGGGAAGCTCTTCTATCCGTCCTGGTAAGAGTAGTCTCTAGAGCATGGTAGTTTCTTGATTTCCCTCAGCACGCAACAAATGCCATAAAAGAAAACGTAGTAAAGCTCTTATTTGCTTCTGCTGCTTATCCAGTGTATGCAGAGGGGAGACTATGTGGTCAGGCAGCTGTAGCCATACCCTTCTTGGGGATATCAGCCCCCAGGTGCTCTATTTACTTATCTTGTTTTCCTAGTATTTTATATTTGGACTTTTGGGAATTCAGATGTCACATCATTGTTTTCTCTGAAAATCTAAGAGTGTCTAATGAAAAAGAGAATTAAGAAATATTTTTACTGCTTCCCTTTCAAAAAGTAATCATTTGGTACCTTTTATGCCCTTGCTGACTAAATGAAGTTGGAAATTGTACAGAAATCAAAACAAAAGCTAGTATTTGATAATGGCTCTTTGCTGCTGCTTTATTTTTGATTTAATTTTCTGGGGCAAAAAACTGTGAAACCACTGCCCAAAGGACAGTTCAAAAGGAAAGGAGAAGGGGTAGAGGAAGAGCTAATATTTACTCTCAAACTCTTTACAGAGGAAACAGACTAGGCTCTGTAAGAAGACAAAATCTGTTCCACTCTGACTATGATTCCTGATGGTAGTTGTTGGCAAGGCCGTAGGAGTCCTCTTCCTCTGTGAAAAGAGTTGTAATGCTGTGTGTGTGTTCCATGACACTGCACACACTCGCCTGCTGTTCACCCACTGCTCCATTTGTCTTTGCCCTCTCTGTAGTCCACAGGAAGCACTGGCCAAATAGGTTTGGGGATCAGAGACACACAGCATCTGTTCATTGAGTGTGACATGTAGCCAGATCATTCTGTCTGATTCTTGTCACCCACTCGCATTCCTGATTTCTCTTTGTTACACAAGTCTTCAGTTATTTCCCAATTTGTATGCAGAAATGTCCCTGTCATTGCCAGGGAATAATATAGCCACTGAGGATGCATTTTGGCATTTATTTGCCACATCAAGGAGGTTTTTTATAAAAAAAAATTAAGTCAAAAGTTACATAATAAAATTTACTGTACAGGCAGAATTGTTCATGACAACATCAGCATTAGGGCCTGCCAGAAGGCACCTCTAAACAAATCCCTCAGGTCAGAAAAAGTGGAGGTATGGAACATGCTTGTATGTCCTAAATGGATACCATATGCAGTGAGAGAGGCTAACTCACAGTGATGATTTTCCAGAGTCCCTGGAGACTTAATCTGATTATGTTGTCATAATGAGAATCTCTTGTAGCTCACTTTGTGCCTCCCTGTAAGCCATCCATTAATCTCCATGTAATCTCTGAGCCCATTTGCCTTCTACAGGACATACTTGTAATCACGGAATACACTACAGTTTCTCTATAAAGGACACAGATTTATTCTTGTGTTACCTATATGTTTAATCTTTATTTTCTGCTGTTAATATCAGCAAGTGAGTGGGCTAAGACATGAGAAAAAAAAAAAATTGGGAACCTACCTGTTGAAGAAAGATGACATTTAAATCCAAAATTTTATTCTTTTCATTTGAAGAAATAGCAGTTAATGAATTGTATTTGCCAGTATGTGTGTTTTGTAAAACAGCACACAGTAAAAAGAAATGTGCATTCTAAAATATCAGGCAGCTGAGCTAATTTCATTTTGAAAGGGAGCTTGAAAATGAATATATGAAAATGAAATACAATTGTTACATATACAGGGGAATATAATGGTCTTGAAGATCTAGCTGGATTAAGCAGCTGGTGGAATCCCAGTGCTAATCAGTGTATGTGTCCTAGACTGGGGGATGCTCTGGAGAAATACGACCGTAGCAGCCTGGTTACTCCAAGAGCACTTTGGTTTTGATGTAGCCATCCTCCTCCCAGGGCAGAACTCATTTGTGTTGCCACAGTGTGTGTCAGCGGTGTGTCAGTGTGTGTCAGCTCAGGCGCTGCTGTATTGTGTTCTCTAATGCTATCCTCACTAGAGACAGTTGATAATTATTTTGAGATAGAAAATTTTAACAGCATATTTTGATCACTTCAAACAGTAGGTGTTTAAATCCGGTGATCTTGGAGTCATCAGTTTTCAAAAAATCCAAATAGAGGAGGCCCCCAGTGTGGGACCTTAAGGCCCCAATTTCCAGGAGCTGTTAAGCATGGGGACTGTTGGGTGCAAAGCCCTTAGACTGCTCTTTATCTCTATCATGGGAGACTTAGGAGCATTACTGTAAGATGATATTATCACTCTGCATCCTGGCTAGCTGCTTTCAGTTTCCATCCATGAAAAGCTTAAGATTTTGGTGCCACCTTCTGATCAGCAAAATAATCAGTTTTTACAGTGTAGAGTTTGTTGATAGTAATTTTGTATGCAGTACATACCCAATATGTTCAGTGCAAGCAAAGGGACTGCGGTGTTTTGCAGATGTTTTACTAGATAGCTTTGTACTTCTTAGAGGCACGGTTGAGACACCCTGTGACAGTGCCTAGGATTGCTTCCGCTTAAACCCTTGCTGTGGAAAAACTGCTCAAAGTTAGTATTCTTTAGAACAAAAACTTCTGGTTTAAAAGATACGTTGGCATAGAACGTTCAGTATCTGTGATTTTCTTTTTTTTTCCTCTTGTGTTTGTATTAAGACTTCAAAATAATAGAATTAACATACCAATATATACTATGAACTTTGATATGGTAGGATATGCAAGCACCTATACTTATAACATTAATTATCTTATGTCCACTTCCCTAGGAACAAGACCATTTTGTTTTACTTTAACATTCTGAAATGTGCCAGTCCAGTAGTGTTAATTAACCTGCAGTGCCCTACAACACAGGTGAGTAAAATACAGAGATATTTTCCCTGCCTTATAGACACAGTGCCTAAGAACTAGACGTACATTTGTTTGGATTTTAAAAGTACTGTTCGTATCCAGCTAAATACCATACAGTTGTTTTATAGATCACATATAGAGCATAAAGTATCTGCATTCTGTTATGATCAGAAGAAAATAAATGGAAACATATCAGATTGTATATTTTAGGTCAGAGTTGAAGAAAAGTCTAGTTTAATACAGCAATTTGTTACTCATTAATTTATTGCAGGCAGCTGTCCAATAGTAATAAATGTATACAAAAAATCATTTTAACTGACAGCTAGGGTTTTCCAAACTGGGCACATACAAGAAAATGTGTATATCCCCAGTGACAGCAGTTTCTGGGTGTGGTTGGATTTTATGGCACTTTCAAAATTGAAGAAAGCTTGTTTCGGAATAATGCCAAAATTTGTAATCTCCTTTATCTGTGCTGCAGCTTATTGTGAAGCTGTGAAATAACTCCAGTTACTGAACTCATGTGGATTACAAGTTATCCTTCTGATCTTTTTTACATGAGGCCATTTAATTGTCCTGGTTTGCTGAGCAATTGTGCATTTCATCTTGGAAAGCAACAGATGATGGCCTGAGGTAGGGCAGAGGAGTTTGGGGCAGGACTGCTCTGATCCACCCTTGCTACCAGAGTATTTGCTCTGTGTAAATAAATAACAGATGATAGTTTGGTCTCAGTCATCTTGAGAATGTTTGGTGAAATATAGTGTTATTTTGGATGAGAGCTGTTTTTTGGTGACCAGTTTACTGATTCCAGATGTTAATTTTCTATTTATTTCACTGTCTTTGAAAAGTGGTTCCCATTCCAACTTGTTCTTTCTCCTGATCCCTAGCCTTGCCAGATCTGTCTCACCTATTTACTGTGACTGTATAGATTATTTGACACAGCTGAGGTGATGAAAATCTCTGGGAAGGGAGAGCAGGAGTCTTAACTCTTAGCTCTATTCAGTTGCTGATAGGAACTTTATCAGCAGCAGATTTGTTTTTGGAATTTCCACCTACTCACACTCAAGACACAGAAACTGCCCTGCAGTTGCCCTGTGGTCTTTGGACTTAGTTATTGCAACAGTTCAGCCTGTTCACAAATACTGAGATCATTGTGAGGAATTGGACTGGTACTATGTTCAAGCTGGCAGTGGTCACGGATCAGGAAAGATGAAACACTTTGTTGAAACAGAGTTTGGGGGAGGGTGGGTACTTACTTTATGTCAGACATCTCCAAAACTGAGTACGTTCTTAAATCCTGTTTGGTGCTGCACAGGTTTAATTCCCTGTTTTTGGTTGGTTTGTTTATTTGTAAAAATGCTGAAGAAACTTTAGTTTGACAGTTCCTCTTTTAACTGCAAATAAGATCTTTAATTCCTGCCCCTTTCATGTCAAATTTTTTCAAGAGAGGAAAACAAGAACTGGCATGTAAAGAGGCTCAGTTTTAGAGTAAGACTGTGGATTTACAGACTTGCTATTGTAGCTTACTGGGATCCACAGATAACACCACTCTCAGACATATGGTTTCGGTTTTGTGTGGTGCTGTTTGGAGCTAGGGATTGGACTCAGTGATCCCTGTAGGTCCCTTCCAACTTGAGATATTCTGTGTATGTATTTTTTTTTTAATTATTTTTTTTTGCAGCTTTGTGTCTCAAAGTGCCCAGACAGGTTTGCAACCTACATTGATGTTCAAGCTTCCTACAGATATAGGCCAGATCAGTGGAATTACTTCAAGCAGTACTGCAAACCTGGTTTTAACAATCCTCGCAAGGTGTGTATGTATCAAAAGGTGATGGGATACATTCATTCTTCAGGCAATGTGCCTGATTTTACTGAACTATATTACAGCTTTAGATTATTCCAGTATCACCATATTAGAGTATTTCCATGCATAAGGTTGGGCACTGATTTACTCACGGCTTAGATCTTTTATGCACACCAAGTTCCCTCTTTCAGTGATTACTGTTTGCTTACAAAGATATCTGCAGCCACCCATGTAGATGCAGTACTGTGGCAGGCAGTATTCTCCAGTACTTAGATACACCACAGCAGAGCATCTCAACCAAGTTCTTAATGCTGATGTGTCATTTACAGCTACTTAGTCTATTTTTTAGCTAGAAAAATTGATCAGTCTTTAACAGAATTTACTTTGTACTGAATGGTGCTGCAGGTATTTCTCTCATCTTTAAAACACTTTGCAAATCAACTAAATTAACTGTGTTCTTACTCCTCCTGAAGAGAAAAAAGCAAGAGGAGTTAAGGAACAACTTGTCAGTCACCTCTGACCAGATGCAGACCCAATGTGAGAAGGTTTTTTATTTTTTTAATGCTAGAAAAAGCAATAAGAATAGTCTTTTCTGAAATCACATCGACAGTATGGATTCTCACATCATGCATATTTCTTGTAGTTCCACCAGTCACATTCAGGGAGGAGGTTACAAATCCCAATTTGGGACATTTTTTCAGACCGGGTGAGAAATGAAAGGCATTTTGTTATTCTGCTGTGTATTCAGCATTCCTATTTTTCCCCTTTTTAGTCTGTTGCTCAAGTCCTACGTGATGAAGATTGTCCTTCGATGATCATTCCAAGCAGGCCTTGTGAGTGGTTCTACTTGTTACACGTATCTCAGATGATTTTTAGTATTCACAGTGAAGCACAACTCCGATCTGAAAAATGTTTTGTGGCAAGGTTATGTGTTAGTGACTGTCAATCATTTGTAAAGTTTAAAAGTATAAAGATATTTTTTTTCTAACTGCTGTCTGTGAACATCCAGCATGTGCTTTGGTCAAGCTGAGCATTTTCTTCCTCATGAATCACCACTAATACTGAAAAAATTTACAATTTAATTTAAGCACATTGGCAAGCAACCACATTGGCTTCAAGAAAATACTGTGAATGCACAAAAGATCATAGGGACAGCTGTTAAAGTTTAGAGGGTACTTGAGCCTGATTACAGTGCAGCTCAATTTTCACTTGTATTGCTGGCTCTGTGAGGAATATAGATCAGTAATAAAAAGGCCAGAAGACATTTTTGTCTCTACAGTTAGCAGGTATTTCTGATAGACCTCAGAGTTGGTCTCAGCTGCAGGATTGTAATACCAAGAGTATCTGCCACTGCATGAAAATGAGAAAGTGCTGTTTACTTTTTCATGTAGACATTGTGTAAACCGGGGGCAGATGTAAAAAACAAAACAAAACAGAAAAAAAACCCCACAGATTCACTTAAAAAAAAAAAGTTAAGAATTTTTATAAAAATTGATATACTGACCCAAAAGTCAGAAAATTGCTTTGCAGAGCTAGTATCTTCTATCAAACTACATTATGCAGCAAAGATTCCAAAGAGAGGAAGAGGGATGTGTTAATTATATTCTCAGAATACTTGGACAGATATTCTAGACTGAATATTGAACCCTGGTTTCATTATGTGTTGGAAGCAGATAAGGATAGCACAGAATTGTTATGTAAAATACAGCTGTGCAGGAGGAGTGATCTACTTTCCTTTTCCAAATGAAAACCTGAACGTTTTGCAGAAAAGAGCCGGGCAACAAAGCAGAGTATGTGCCTCTCTCTCCTTTTAATTCTCATTTACAGTTCACCCCTCCTTTCATCTAACAAATAGTTTCTATATTTTTTTTCCATTGCCTCTTCTCCCAGTGACAATAACTGCTATTGCAGTTTTCATATGCGGCACTGATGCTTGCTGTTATGTTTTGGTTTGAGTCTGAATACCATTAGTGACCAGTTATGTTGAGTCTGTCCCCAGAGACTGGTTTGATTATTGCCGTGTTAGTGGCATATTTCAGACATTGCTGCCAAGATACTGGCAGAGTAATTCTGCATTTTTTTACAATTTTTTCAAATACTACTATTTTCAAATACTACTATTGTTTTTTGATAGCACCTCGTTGAAAGCAATGCTTCCATTATGCCTGAACTTGTACAAATATAGGACAAGTTGTCCCAGAGTAGAAAAAATATCATATTGGATATATTGACTCTTCCAAGATCTTTCAAAGCCAACATATGAATAGATCATCAAGTGAAAAACAATTGACATAATAAAATTGAAACAATTTAAATAGGATAGAATTTGTTGCACCTGCTTTTAGAGGATGAAAGTGGAGCTTGTCATGAAATGTAATGTGCATGCTTTGTTTTGATATTTTGAATAGTTCTTAAGAGATGCTTCCCAGACTTCTCCACAAAGAATGGTGTCCTAACTGTGGCAAACCAGACTACGTTCAAAGATGGAAGAGGGAAAACAAGAAATGTGACTGATCTCAGGGAAGCTGCAAAGTAGGTTCTACCATTCTTTACTGCTCATTTGTTACATTCTAATATTGTGAAATAATTTAGGCTGAAGGACTCAGCAAGATTTGCTAATAGATGGTCTCTTTGTGTCTGAGCAACTGCACAGTTCCAGTAAGGGAAACTAACACTGTGGAATACAGAAATGAGCAGGGAACTAAATTTTTAGTTTGATTGTCTCAAAGTAATTGTCAGCTTTTAAATCATTCTTGTTTTGTTTTGTTTTTTTTCCTAGCAAAAGAAATAAAGAAAAGCATTAAAGAAAGTTGAAGAAGGCTAAAAATGAAACCCTAATGTGCTGGGCTATTTCCTGTGCTTAGTCTTTCTGCTAACATGGACTGTCCTAGTACTGTAGGCATTTCATAAGAGTGCTCCTATTTTTAATATGTGTCTAATGTTATCATACGTCACTTTTTGACATCACATGTCCCTTGCAGGTAGACTCTCCTGGAGTCACAGCTGATGTCTTTTAGTACATGCTTAACAATACATGATTTTCTTGTGACATAATAAGCAATTATGACTAGTAATAATTAACATTTACAGAGCTTTTAAAATAAAGCTGTATCAGGATATGTGTAGACTTTTTTTCTGAATTTTTTGGAAGGTTTTAAACTTAGAATCTTCTTTGATGTACCTAAGAGTGATGTTGGCTTACTTACAGATCTGAAGCTGAGCAATAGTAATATAGTCATATTACTAGCAATGGTATTTCAAATTCGTTTACTGGAGGCTATCTGTTTTTGAAATAAATTCTGCTTGTCTACTTAAAGCAACCTTTTCTTGGGTTTGTCTTTTCTCAGTGGTATCAACAATGTCCTGGATGCAAGATCAGTTGGAATAAAAATTTTTGAAGATTATGCCATTTCTTGGTATTGGATATTAATGTAAGATTTTAATGAGTAATTGTAAATTTTCCAGTGCCACTTCGGAGTGTGAAGAAATGAAAAAATAGATCATGTATGTGTTTGTTGCCAATTCTACATTTAAACTCAAGGATCAACTGTAACTTCCTTTCATCATGTTATAGTAATGTTATGATTTTGTACATGAGGAGAGGATAGCACAGCACACATGCATAGAATGTCAGCTGATTTGGAATCGGCTTTTATTATCCTACCAGGAAAAAACAGGAGGTGACATCTTGTGTTGCAAGAACTATCTATGTGGTAATTCCGAAACTGAAACTCTTAAAGATTTTCAAAACAATTATACTTGCTAAGTGTCATTGGTATATAGAGAAAGAGAGAGAGAGAGAGATAAAGCATTATTTCTGAGTTCTTGCTCATAGTATATAGCCAAGTCTATTGTAAATCTGCTAGTGCCAATGCAACAGGTGCAGCAAAACCAAGAACAAAATGTATAGAACAGCATTAGCTTTATCTTGCAATTAATACTCACTAATCACCAATCAATAAAAATAGCACTGAAACAAAAGCAGCTGTTTTGCCTGAAGTAAAAGTATAAGTAAGTGTGCATTCTTAGCCTATTAATGTTATTTTTGAAGGAGTTGGGTCCATCAAAACAGGAGCTGAAGTTTTTGCTAGGTGAGAGCCTATAACATGCACATATTAAGCACATATTACTCAAGCCTAAATGAAAATCCACTCATAAAACAATAAATACATAAACTTTGGCTAATGAACTGCATATGAAGAACAATTGAGAAACATAAATTATCAGCTTTTAAAGATTTTTTGCCACTGGTGGGAGGACAGCCTTTTCATTGTCTTATTTTGTGCTTGTAATTATTAGTGGCAAGAAAATCACATGGATATTCAGCAAGCTCAGTTCTGTCTAAATCTGGTATTGAAATCGGGTCTATGGTGCATGTTCTTTCATAGGATCTGTCATAGCTAGGCTGGAGAGGGAAATGACTGATTTTGGACAGAAATTATACATTCTGAAAGCTAGTTTCCACATTTCAAATATGATGCTTTTATAATACAATTTTAAAATAGTTGGATTGAATTATAGAACAGTTTGGGTTGGAAGGGATCTTTAAGATCATCACCTCCCATTAGACCAGGTTGCTCAAAGTCCCATCCAGCCTGGGACTTCTGTTGGTCCAAAGTGACCTTTGTTTGGAATAACAGATGCACATGATAGAGAAGATTCTCACACTTTTTGTTTCTGTCTCTTATCTCTCCAGTGGGCTGTTCATTGCAATGATAGTGAGCCTGCTCTTCCTTGTGCTGTTGAGGTTCACAGCTGGGGTTCTCTTCTGGATTTTCATATTTGGTGTGATTGGAATTATAGGCTATGGTAAGTGTAATCTAGCCTGTGAGGCTGTTTTTCCTTATTGCTTACGTTTGGGCAAGGAAAGTCAGTGATTATATACATTTTACAACAGGGAGAAGTAATGTATGGTTTTGGGCATGGTTAATAGTGAAGGACTTAAATGGCAGCAAAACTTAGTAAAAATTCAGCTCTACTGTCACAACAACAGATATATTTACTTGAATTATCTACCCATGGTGCACTTTCTCTTCATTTGTACTGATATTTCTTTTTATATATGTTATTTCATAGTTTCAGGTCTCACAGTAATGCATTTGTGTTTTTTGCTTACCTAACATGCTGAGGACAGAACACTTGGCTTGTAGGAGATTATTTAAAAAAAACTTGTCTTCGCAGTCTTCAGAACATTTTATATTGATTGCTTTTTGAAAGGCATCTGGCATTGTTACTGGGAGTATGATCATCTCAAAGGAATACCTGGATCTGACCTCACTGTTTACGATATTGGATTCCAGACAGACTTCCGAGTGTACCTACAACTGAGGCAAACGTGGCTAGCATTTAGTAAGTGCCCTTTAAATCTGATATCACTTAATGGATATTCAGGAAAATGAATCAGTGTCTTGTTACAGTGTCTGCCTTCTAAACACGTCACTCAGAGAGGTAAGAAGAATTCTTTTTCTTTGTATTGTATAAAATATCTGTTTTTTGCAAGGAGGATAATATATTTGGAAAAAAAAGATAAAGCAATTACACTGCTGATGGCAGTGAAAAACATATTTGTGTATTACACTTCTTGTATGTTCTGTCTTCATAGCAAGAAGAAGTTAGTCCTGATGAAGTTGCAGAAGGGCATTTTTCTCTCAGAATCCACTTATTCTCTCTCTTTGAGAGCCCCAGAGACAAGATTAATAACTCTGTACATCTTTATAGAACTCTTTATGATCATTTATGATCAGGTCATTGAAGACCTTTGTAGAGCTCATTATTATCAGGTTTTTTTGGAGTCTGCTCTAAGACTGTGGAATGAGCCTTCACAAATTTGACTGGCTTTGTTTTCAAGCGTGCTTCATTGCCTTCTCTTACAGGGGCATGTGCACCTTTATTTAAAACAAAATTCTACTGGAATAAGAGAGCTTGCAGCATTCACATCTCCCCTGGGAAGAAGGGGCAGAAGAGAGAACAAATGTGTGGAAAATATAAATTCCACTACTGCTCTACTAGAAGGCATACAGATTCTTTAGTTGGGATGATGAATGGAACACAAGCTAGATAAAACTCTTCCTCTCTCTATGAGTAGCTGAATTAATAGAATAGTAGTATCAAAGTTAATCTCCTTTGTTTTGTGTCTTCATTGGATTGTCAAGATCATGAGGCATCTTTTTATGTATTGTTGAGGCACGTATTTCTAGTGTGCAATCTCTAGAGGATCTTATGACTGTATTATGTCATTATGTCTCCAACCTCTTGTACCTCTCCTATCTCTTCTCCTGCCTGACTCTTAGCAGCCAGTTTGGAGTCTATCTGGAGGTCAATGTCACTTTCAGATTAGTAAACTAAGGTAGTCAGGAATTAAATTATTTCACCCAGCAAAGCAGTTAAATATCCTTGAAGAAAATGTGGACCCTCTCAGTCCAAATCTAGAACTCATAATGTATTAACATTGCTTTTTTTTTTTTTTACAATGGGACAAGTCTCATTAACTTAAAAGAACTGAAATGAAATGAGAAGTGAAACCTGATAATCTTTTCTTTCATGGGAACATATATCGAAATAGGTACTGAAATGCATGTAACAAAAACTTTGCTCTGAGCAACACAGTGATTATTTGCCAACTGCAGTTCTGATGGCCAGAGGGCTGGTTTAGATGTCATCTAACTGTTTGAAGCACTCAAATTTAATGGATATGTCTCAGAGTTAGAAGGGATGTGTTTCAGGACCCAGACTACCCAACATGAAGTCAAGATTTTTTTTTCTTTTTATTGTAAAAGTAGGTTTTGAACTGACATAAATAGAAATTAGACTAAAGCAGACTTTTTGAACAAGATCTGGTTAATGACTCAAACACTGCTAAGAGAAGTATTGTTCTGGGACATGCCACTCTGCTTTCAGAACTCAGAAACAGTTTGTATGATTCCAGCAGCGTGACTGGAAGCTGCAAATAATTTGTCCAAAAGTGTCCTATCCTAGCCTCTTTTTTTTTCTTTTTGTTTTTCTGTTTGTTTTTTCCTAATGTGAAATTAAAGAAGCTCCTACCAAGTTAATACACAAACAAAACTAATGATTTAAGTGCATTTAAATGTTAGAACAATATGCATCACAAAAACACATTATTCATGAAAAAATTAACTCATCTTTTTATTTATTTTATTGCATCTAGATGCTGCAAACTAGTAGCAGTAAAGCATTAACTTGGAAAATGCTTGTTTATGAAAAATGTAATTTGTTAAGGATAGACCGTTTTTAAGGTGAAATGTTGCAGTCATATTTAAGTGGATGATTATCTTTGCCTTAGGATGTTATCTTCCATTTTTCCTCTAAAACTAGAAATGCTGATGTCTGGGTGCTACATTCTGACTAATTCCCTATATGTAGAATTGCCCTATGCTGTCACATAGGAAGTTGTGACACAAAATTGGTGATTAGCAGCAATGAGACAAAAGGAGATCTACTTCAGCAGAAAATCTCATGAAATTCATGAACAGTAATGTAAAATATAACACGAGGTAAAAAAAGCAATTTACAAAGGCAGTGTGTTCGTTTGATTCTTGATAAATTTGATCTTTTTTTGTTGTTGTTACCTACAGTGATATTACTTTGTGTTGTTGAGATCATAATCATATTGATGCTGATCTTCCTAAGAAATAGGATCCGGATTGCTATTGCACTGTTAAAGGAAGGTAGTAGGTATGTTTGTCTGACTTTAAAATATTTTCAAATTTATTAAAATGATCTCTAGGGTATAATCTTCTTGAGCTTCATCTTGTACTACAATGTTGGGAGTAAATGCGCAGTACTGGATTTGTTGAGAATAATGGATAGCATATGGAATGTTCATTCTTGTTTATGAGATTTGCTTTCTGTTTTACAATAGGACAGATTTCTTATCTCAGTTCCTTGTCTTAGGAGTACATACACAGTGGTACTATGTGTTCTCAGTGCAAAAGGGTGTATCAGTTGAAATGCTAAGTGTGGTACAGTATTAATAGGCGCCTGGGAACCTATATTTGCCAACCTTGCTCTGTCACTGGATTGTCTCCAAAGTGCCATACTGGTGGTGAAGTGTTACAGTGGCTGTTATTCTGAAAAGACTGGATTCTTCTGGTTTCAATGAAACTTCTGTGTGGACAGGAATGAATCTGAAGAGACTTCCATGACCAGACATTGTAAAATGTCTCAGTCCAAGACACGTCTTTTCAACCCTGAGCAAAGGGGAAAGCAGAGCAGGGTGTGTTAGCTGAAGGACCAGGAGATTTCATTTTGTGTTTCCTGAAATCTGCATAGACTTTGTTTGCAACGGTTCCTGTTTTATACAGTGCCAATGCTTAGTTCTTTTTAAAACTGATTATATAACAAAGGGGAAAAGGGCTTGAAAAATCAGACCCTTGGATTTCATTACAGGTAGGCCTAAGCTCTGCCTGACAACTACTGAAAGCATCTTCCTTGGCAGTAGAGCTCTGTTACTGGAGCTCATAAACTTATCTCTGAGTATATCTGTGTACACTTTCTGCCACCCCTATTGGCACTATGGTCCTCAGGAATCAGAATTTGGGATTTATGTGATTAAGAAATACTGAAGCTCTGCGTTCAGTCAAGTGCTCGTTTCTTTCTTGTGTCATTGTACAAGTAGGGCATAGCAGTTAAAATGGGCAGAACTAAATTATACTCTTTAATTCTTATTTCATAAACTCAAGAATGCTTTTAACCGTCTACAACAATTTTCTTCATAGCCTTGACAGTTACAAGGATTTCAGAAACGTTATAAACTTTCTGCTGAGAAGTAGCAACATTCTACAGATTTCAGTAGCATGGTCACTGGAGGGCAATAGTTTTACTCTCATGCAGAACACAAGGCGCACTCTGTAATTACTGTAAGCGTAACTGGCCATGCAGTTATTCAGGAAGAAAAAGATATGTATTTTTAATGACTGGAAATCAAATTCTGTTTTCCAATACCTTTTAATTATTCTCTTAAAAGTATTACAATTACAATACTAATAATTGACTTGAAATCCAAAGTTGGAGACAGTTAACAGTTTTTTTGCATAACAGTCGGTGGTTTTAATAGTAACTAACAGAGCTACCATTAACTACTGAACAATACAGTACTGAACTTCTGCTAATACCTGGTGATTATTTCTCAGACAGCATAAAGCTATGTCCTCCTTTGTGACTCCTGAGGTATTTATAGACTCAGAACTTGGCATGTACCTCTTGAGTGCATGTGACACCTCCATTGCATTCCCCCACAGCATTTACTAGTTTGGCAGCAAAAGCTGAGTAAATTTGTCACCTTTTATGTTCTGAAAACTGCCTCCTCTAGAACAAATGGCATATGAAGTACCATCTGTCATACAAGAAAAATGACCAGCAATAGGGACTAATAGGTTTGTGGTAAGCTTATGGAGTCAATGGAAAGAAAATTTGAAGGAGTGAAAAGAGGTGTACGAGTGTAAAGTTAACTAGTCTATAAGCTTAAGTGAACAAAAAATGTATTCTGCAGTATTGCATCCAGTGTCTCATACCTAGCTAAAGGTATTTATTTGTGAAACACTGCATTGCCCAGAAGGACCGTATCCATTAACTCCCAGAAGAACAACAGCATCTACTGTGCTCATTCTAGCCTCAAGAAGTGTTGGTAGATTACTAGCCTCTAACAGGCCTGATGTAAAAAGAGGCTCAAGGGCTCAACAGTGCAAGGCTTATTGTTCTTTCGGCTTTCCAGCAAACTTCAGCTCTGCTATGAAACATGCAAGGAAAGTCACGTAGTCACAGGAGGGTGTCAGAATGTCCTGGAACTCTGAAGAGAAGTTGAATGCCTACCCAAACAAGCTAATACTTAAGCCAGGAAAGGGGCTGTGAACAAAGTCCTCAAATACGAAGTAGTAAGGAGTAATTTCAGGCTCTGCTGGGCCTCAAGAGAAGGCATAGGATCTGAGCAGGTGGGATATGGCAGTAGAGAGCAGTGTCTTCAGATCCTGCAGCCTGGAAAGGGCAGGATCTGTGAAGCAGAAATGGAGAAAAAGAAAGTAGAAGATGGGCTTGAACATGGCAAATAGATGAGTTCAACTATACTGGTGCCAGTGAAGTGGAGTGGTAGAAATGCTGAACTAAAGATGTGAACACAGTACCTGCAGAATTCCGAGGTTCTAGCTCCAGATTATGCCACCACCAAGTAGCTCAAACTAAGAAGGATTATATTAGGAGCTGATAAAAAGCGTGTTTCTTAAATTGTTGTAACTTACTGATGTATTTTATTTCTTTTATAGGGCTATTGGCTATATAATGTCTACGTTGTTCTACCCAATTGTCACCTTCCTACTCATTGCAATTTGCATTTCCTACTGGGCTGTGACAGCTGTGTATCCTTCTGCCTGTACACCCCTGTGGGTAGCAGTTTTCTGCTGTAAAAGAGAAGGTCATGCTCTGTGATATCATCTAACCAAGCCCATATCAAGAAGCCTATTTACTACCTATCACTTGCTACATTGATGCAAGATTGTTTCTCACTGCATATTTGGGTGCAATGTATAATTTGGACAGCAGACTTAATTTCTGCCAAGGCAGTAAGGATCATGTAAGGCCTTGTATACTACTTAAGATTGACTTCAACAGTTGAAAAGAAGTCCTCAGCAAAGAAGGAATATGGCATTTAATGTGCTGCTTGCTCTACAGGCCCGTTGTTAATGAATTGCAGGGGTTGGAAGGAACCTCGAGAGATCATTGAGTCCTGCTAAAGCAGGTACCCTACAATAGGTCGACAGGTGGGCATCCAGATGGGTACTGAATATCTCCACAGAAGGGAGCTCCAATGCCTCTCTGGGCAACCTCTTCCAGTGCTCCCTCATCCTTACCGGAAAGAATTTCTTCTGCATGTTAGTATGAACTCCCTGTGTTGAAGTTTTAGGCCGTTACTCCTTGTCCTATCCCTATGCACCACCAAGAAGAGCCTGGCCTCATCCATTTGCTTCCCACCTCTTGTTAGATAATTATAAACATCTGTCAGATCCCCCCCTCAGTCGTCTTTTCCCCAGGCTGAACAGACCCAGATCACCCAGCCTTTCCTTGTAGGGGAGATGCTCTGGGCCATGTATCATCTTTGTGGCCCTCTGCTGAATCCCTTTTAGGAGATCCCTGTCTTTTTTGAACTGGGGAGCCCAGAACTGTACTTAGTGTTCCAAATGTGGCCTCAGCAAGGGTGAGTAGAGGGGGAGGATCACCTCCCTTGACCTGCTGGCCATGTTCTTTTTAATGCACCCAGGATACCATTGGCCTTCTTGGCCAAAGGGGCACACTGCTGGCTCCTGGCCAACCTATTGTCCTGTGGACCTGTTGTCCACCAGGAGGCCTAGCTCCTCTCCAGCAGGTCAGCCCCTACCCTTCCTCTTGTCCATTCTGGTCAGACTTTATAGTTCAGAGATAGAGGTTGGTTTAGTTCTCTGAGTAACGAGAGTATTCTGTCATGTCTTTCAGACACTTGTACATATCTGCATAGCAAAAAGAATGTTTCTATTATCTACACAGGTTCTTTAATACCTGTGGTTCCCCACTGCAGAGTCTTAAGTTGCTCAAAGCCAACAGTTCTGTCATTCCTCCTTAAAACATTTCATTAAGTTTTCTAGCTACATCAGGAGAACCTGTGTATAAAGTAATGGCTAATCAAACACTGTGCAAGTATGCAAACCTGACTTGTGACCCAGAGGTAAGTGTAACCAGTGTTCACCTTTAGTAAAAATTACACTAATTGCATTTCTTAATTACTATTAAACATGCATATTTTAGAAGAATTATTCTTCATGTTAAATCTGCAAATAGTATATTTCAGATAATACTCCTTTGTTCAAAGCAATTTACAGACATAAACTAATTATTCTTCCAAACTGTCCTATAAGGCAGGTGGATATTAGTGGTTCTGTTTTACAGGATGAGAAAGAGAGAGAGAGAAATACAGATTTATTTGGAAAGCTGTTTTTGAGTTTGTAAAGTTTCTATTTCATTTTCTTCGCTTCATTTCAGTTCAAATGGGTGATTTACCCAAGGTGCTGATTTGATCGACTGTTTTCAAATAAATAGTATATACTTTATTACCTGGGTATGTTTTCCTTAATGAAACCATAGCAATTTACGTATCTTAAAAGGATACTCCTGAAATTCAAATTACATTACTTTTTGTTTCAGGCAAGTGATCAACAGCCCTTTTTGCTAACTACATTAAAGCGTCTGCATAAGACATTAACATAAATCCTTAAGTGTGTACAAAGTTCATGTACTATTGGAATGCAATGTTGGATAAGTTAAGGAAACATCAAGCAGAATGATACGATACTGTACTGTCACTGAACTAGAGATATTCTACACAGAATTAATTGTGTTGTTTCTTTTTCTTTTGATGCAGACATTTAATACAACCAATGTAACAAAATTATGCCCAGGTGCTCAATGTACATTTGCTTTTTATGGAGGAGAAAGCCTGTACCATAAGTACATCTTCATCTTTCAGTTAGCCAATGCCTTTGTCTTTCTCTGGCTGGTAAACTTTGCAATTGCACTGGGTCAGTGTACCCTTGCTGGTGCCTTTGCCTCTTACTACTGGGCTTCTCGAAAACCAGCTGATATTCCACTGTGGCCGCTCTTCTCTTCATTTGGACGGGCAATACGGTAAGGCTGTGAAGCTTTATGTGAGCCCTGTAATTTATTCAACAAGTGCTCTTTTTAAAGTTAAGGAAACCAGATGGAGAATATAAACTGAAAATGATTAGCCAGAAAGTGTATTTTTTAGGAGGGTCATGAATCCAGTAGCCCAGCAGGGCAAGGCAGCTGTATCTTGATGCTGCAAGGTCCAGCCCCTTACAAAGCTGAGCAGTTATTCCCAGTGGACACACACTCCCAAATATATGTATGCAATACATACATACACAGCTGGCCATGCAGGTTGACCTACACACACACACAGTACTTGCACGAACACCAGCAGCTGTAGTGGCATCAGCCTGTTCCCCTCTTCGGAGTCCCTTACTGATCAGTTTGAAGGTCTGCTGGTGTATGTAATTCCCACTAATGGACTTTTATTCAATTTTATGAATATATAATTGTACATATATGCATATGTTTAGGGTGCATATCCCACCAGTAGCCTTAGACACTTGTTAGTGCAGTAGCTGGTGCTTGGATCCCCAAACTCCCCAGTTACTCGTGGCTGGATGTGTGAATCCCTGAGGCTCACAGCCCTGCTCCAGTTGCTCCTACACACTCCTTTCCTCACTGACAGACAGACACACACACACATTCATACACACACATACCTCTCAGTAACCCCTAGACATCTGTCTCTGGCAGTTTTCAAAACTCCTGGTTCCTCCAGCAGCCCCTTTCTCCAGGTGCCTTGCTCCTGGAGACAAATACACAAAAAGGTCTCAGCTGATCCACAGATCCTACAATCTCTCCAGCAGTTGACCAGGACCCTGAGGTCCCTCTACTAGCCAGCTCATCCCGTAGTTTCAGCTTTAGGGAAATATGCACATACTTGGCTCCTAAGCTACCTAAGCTACTCACCAGCTAATTAACCTTAATATCTGCTGACAGTCACACTCACATACTCTCATTTGCTCCAATTACTGGCACTACAGTTGCACAGGCACTCTAACCTGTGGTCTTAGTTGAGCTTCTGGCATGCAGGTCCCTCACTAAGGAAAATAGCTGGAGGTGGAATTTAATAAGATAGGTCAGACTGTGCTGATCAAATGCAGTGCATGGCCAGAGGATTTTCCTGACCTGTAGCTATTTATATGCAGCTGGCCCTTTTTGTACCCTTATCCCTCATTTTTAACCATGCTTGTTCCTCAAGCTTGATTCCTCCCTTCACTCCCTTTAATTCCTCCCCTAGGCATCTCATAATCTCTGATTCTCTTCCCTTGCAACCCAGAATGTGTCCAGTACCCCAAGTCATTAACACCCTCCAGTCTGAAAGGTGCTCAAGGAAGTCAATTCTTGTTGACTCACCTTGATGGGCTTTACATCTGAGCCGAGGGACTGATGGCTCTCTTGGGATTGGCTGTTCTTTCCTCTGAGTGCCTCATTTGGGTTCCCCACCTGCAATTGTGCCTCTGTGCTTGTGGAGGTGAGCTTTGGGTAGGACGATCCTTCTCCTGTTATGAGTGTGGGTGAAGCAAGACAGAGCATTGTTCAGGGTGTGCACTGTTTTTGCTCTGTGCTCTGTCCTGTGCCCTAACCTGTCATTAGAGGCTTAGCTTTTCTCATTATTAAAAATGTGGTGCTTCCTGTCAGCTTAGAGGATGCACTGATTCAATAAGTGTATAGCTAATAGAAATTAAGGAATACGCACATTTTTAAAACCTGGGTATAGGATTAGCGAGCTCATAATAATCTTTTCATACACAAAGCCTCTCTTGACTTTATGAGATAATTGATTGACAATTCAGCTTACGGCTAGGTTGCTGTAATTATATCTCCAATGATACTCTGCCCAGACTAGGACTGACTTTATTCTGAAACAGTTACGTCTTTTCCAAAACTGCTCAAAGGGCTGGGTTGTGCTGACAGGGAATGCATATTCGGTGCCACTGTGATTAAGTTAAAGTTTTGACAGAAGCAGCTAATGTGAATACAACCATTAAATAGTATTTATTTTGTTTTAGATACCATACTGGTTCACTGGCATTTGGAGCCTTAATTCTTGCAATTGTCCAGCTGATCAGAGTAATACTGGAGTACTTGGATCACAAACTGAAAGGTGGGATTGATGAATCGGCACTAGGTTATTAAAAACTCCTTTGGTAAATTACTTCCTTCCTTTCCCCAGATGATTTTTCAGGAATGAAAAGAGATTAATTCCACATTAGAACTAGCCATTGCAGCTCTATTTGACAGCCATTGCATTTGTGATGATTTGCTGAAATTGAGTAAATTGGATCTTCAATGCAGAGTTCATGTGGGGCATGAATCTCATCTAACTGAAAGCTATTGAGCTAAATTTGATTAGGAAGTAGAGTCTGTACCCAGGAGAAAAGAAATAACATTTCTACTTTTGCCACAGTTTTAAGATTTTTCTTCTCAACATGTTTCTGTTTTCTGAAAACTGTTCCTAAGTTCTGTCTATATGATGTACTTTATCCTTTTTTCAGGTACACAGAACTCCTTCACTAGATTTCTACTCTGCTGCCTCAAATGCTGTTTCTGGTGTTTGGAAAGATTCTTAAAATTTATAAACAGAAATGCCTACATCATGGTATGTGCTGTCTTTGCATGTGGTCTCCCCTGTCTGGGACACTAAAATACCCTAGCAACTACTAGTTGGTAAACAGCCAGCAGTACTAGAATATGCTGAATAAATAAAGTGATTTATGGGAGTTTTCAGGAAGTGCATGTGGTGCTACAATGGAAAAGTAAGATTTTCTTTTCTTCTTCTAAGTTCTGCCTTTTATTGCCTGTCCTTGTCCATTCTCCCTACCCTACAAAGAAAGTGGAAGGGAATGGCAGCACTAGTTGATTTCCCCCCTCTGATTCAGCAGCTGGAGTCCTACTTCAACAGGAATGCTAACTTGTTTTTTATTGCGTGTTGATGTGACACTTCTGTTTGGAGGCAGTGTTTGAATAAGGAAGTCAGAAAGTGTGTGGTGTCTGTATTTGCTCTAGGAAGACAAAAGCACAAATTCTATTAGCGGCAGCAGTGATGTTACTCTAAAATCCTGTTATTTTGGCTTCTGAAAGAGAAATACCAGATTGTCACCTAAATAAATAGATTACATATTTCATCTTAGGATGTTTGACTTGAAATACTTTAAGTGATTGAATGCTAGTCACAGGCATTATCTCAAAGTAAGTGGGACTAATAGGTCCATTTTGACCCAAGTTATTGTTTTTGAACATCTTGTTTACAGCTGGCAAACTGACTGCACTCCAGAAGAACTCTCTAGGCACTACCCGCTTTGTAGACATTATTCCAGAAAGATTAAATGGTTTTGTTCCTCTGTAACTTCAGTGGCCATACTTCATGCTGACGTAAATCCACTGACTTTGATACTGATGTTGCTGATTTCTTCTTGAGACAGAGTCAGGTCCAAGTCATTATCTAAATGGCTCAACTCACTTCTGCTCTTCAAGCACCTGTTCCTTTTCCACTGGCTGTAAATCTCATGTGGGTAGCTAGCAAAGAGAATCCCTCAGCAAGTAGCATTTTTTGCTCTCTTTGGAAAACTAAATTGTGACCTTTCAGATCTGTAAGGGGTAGCATGCTGAAAGTCAGGTGATTTGCAAGAGAAAGATGAATGATGCTGTGTCACAGTCTGATGGGAAGCGCTGCGAGGTAACAGGTGATTGGGAGCAGTGCTTCATGTTCACGGGAGCATTCCCAGGCCGTACACTGGAGGGAGCTGTGCATTACATGCAGTGTGATTCCTAAGTACAAAGAGGTATCCTAATCATTTAAAATACTTAACAGCGCTGTTATTTTGCAGATTGCCATATATGGTAAAAACTTCTGCACCTCGGCAAAGGAGGCATTCTTTCTGCTCATGAGAAATGTGGTGAGGTAAGGGGCCATCTCCCAGTCCTTGGAAATGTCAGGATTTGCTGCTATTGCACTCTGAAGACACACTTCCTTCCTCTTCACCTCTGCTCCAACTATTAATGGCTCTGTCTATAGACATGGTCATCACTTCTAATAGCCAGTTTGTAAAAGGAAGCTGTCTGGCATAGTAACCTATGCAAATTTGATCTAATTTAACTCTTCTGTTTAGATTGCTCTTTTAAAATCCTAAGCACATACTAGATTGTATTGCCTGCCCGTAAGTAACCAATGGAAGTCCTGTGTGAGAAGATCTGTGGACAAAAAGCAATGGGATGATCATGGAATCATAGAATGACTGGGGTTGGGAGGGACCCTAAAGCCCATCCAGTACATATCATCCTGTTACTGTACTGGAAGGCCACAATGAGATCTCCCCAGAGCCTTCTTTTCTCCAGGCTGAACATGCCTATCTCCCTCAGCTTGTCTCCAGGAGAGAGGTGCTCCAGCCCTCTGAGCACCCTCGTGTCCCTGCTCTGGACCTGCTCAAACAGCTCAACAAGTAGTTTATATTATTTAGTGAAGGTCTGGGAGGAAGAGAGGAATTGAAGGGGATGTTGAAAGAGAGCAAAATGGGACCAGTGCTTAAAATAGAGGAGGAAAGGACTGGACATGGCAAAATAGAATACATCCACTCTGTTACCCTGCATTAATATCGGAACAGTGGTGCTGTGTCTGTATCAGGTACTGCCTCTGCAGGAGGAAAAAGAAGGTGCCTTTGTTTCCTCTCAGAACTACCACCTCATTGTCCTTTGTACTTCTGCTCTTAATAAGAGTGACAGCTAAAATTCAGGCATATAATTTTATTGTTTTAAACAGTTTTGTTTATTTTGTGCGTTTTCCTTCAGTTCTTGATCTCCCATGGGCTAATAATGATTTATTCTCTTTAATACTTGTTAATGCTTATCCATCATGGCAGTCAGTACTGTATATTAACATATGCACAGTTGTCAGTGCTGGCAGGAGGCTGATAATGCAAAGCTCATTTTCCATGCCATTATTTACCTGCAATTTCTGATAAGACGGGCTGGCAGGATTTCAAGCAGAAGACCCCAGCTGTTGCTTTCGGTGATGTCTGCAGATTTACTGTCTGTTTTTCTGTCTGCCTTCATTCATTCATCAGTGACTGTCCCTCTACTTTGAGACCTCCTACCTTCAGTGTTATGCCATGGTATCTTAAAATAGTTACGTGGATTTGGCATGTTACGGAGTCATGGAATGTGGCCAGATGGGACCAAGCGAAAAGAGGACCTACCAACAATCTACATAAACGTTGCTTTTTGTTATGGTGTTTATTTTGCCTCTTTTGGGCTAGCTTGTCTGTGACCCTAACAGAAAGTTTGAAATAAGGATATTTTGACACTTTTAATTTTTTATTTATTTATTTATTTATTTATTTTTTCCAACAAGAGCAATAGGCAGTCTGCAGGCCTAATTCATTAGGCCTAATTTGTTAAGGCCTAATTCAGCAAGATGCTCAGGTTGTTTTTTGGTTTTGGGTTGTTTTTTTGCCTCATTGGATTAGGTTATAATGAAGTTCATCTCAATGCTGCTTTTCTATATTGTTACATATGTCAGTCTGTGAAACCAGCCAAAAACAGCTTCTTGTTCACATTTTGTCAGTTATCCATAGATGTAATGAAAAAGAATACAAATTTATGGTTTGTGATAACTATATATCATTTGTCCTTTGCTGAACAGAGTTGCAGTTCTGGACAAAGTTACAGACTTTCTTTTATTCCTGGGGAAAATTCTCGTAGCTGGTGGTGTAGGTAAGATGATTGATTTTTTTCCAAATTCCTATTTACTGTTACCTACAAGTATACCTCCTGTATTCATATATGTTAGTTGACAGTTAAGAGGTTCTCTTTGGTCTGACTATTGAACTATTGACTATTTTTTTTTTTTTTCCCCCTTTTTATTCCCTGTGTGGTTGTGACAACATCTTTTCTGTAATTGCTGTTATTAGGCTGGCAGGCGTTGCTAGCAGAAGGACTTCTGCAGCCAAAGCATTTATAGCTGGATCAAATCAAATCCATATCCAATAAATCAGCCATAATCTGTTCTCTCTTCACGAGAACTGAGCAGATGTGCTCATTACATTCACCTGGGAGCAGACAGCACACATGTGAGAGGAGCTGGTGCAGGTCTGCAGGGGATGGGCATGAAGTTATGCCATATTCAGTCCCGTTCAAAAAAATCTCCAACCAAAAGTAAAAGAAATAAGATGTTTTTAATATCCATATAGTTCTTCCTTGCTGTCAGTAAATATAAAAAAATTTTTTTTTGATATTTCATGGTTTGAATTGATCTTTTAAAAATGAAACACTTTGAGAAATTCGGGTTGGTAGTATTTCCTTACAGCTTATCTAGGTTGTGACAGCAGTTTCAAAACATTGTTTTACTAATAAGCATATTTTGTATTCGGTATACTTTAAAAGATTACTAGTGAACAATATTTTTAGTAGAAATTGAAAATTATTATCAAGACCAGATCTAAATTTTTCTGTTATTACTGTGGAAGGCCTTGCAAGCTGGGCCACAAAACTGATTTGAGATGTTTTTGAAATGTAAGCCATGAAATACTGAAACTCGTTCATGCCTTCTTTCTCTTCAAAAATAAATTCTTTTGACTACTTCCATTTTAAATGAACTGTTCTGTTCTAAATCTATTATTGTGTACTTCACTAGCACTAGCATTTCTTTTTATTTTAATATGAAATAGTTAAGAATTTCTTCAAGCAATAAAATCTAAAGCAGGATTTTGCTGACTGCTTTTATTTTAAAAGAAAAAATCTGCCCACTCATCTTTGTTATTATCCCACATTATTGTCTTTTTTGTTATTATTCATCATCATTTTGAAATTAAATCCAGTAAAGTGATGAAATAAAACAACTGTTTGAAGTCTTCCTGGACCTATGAATATCATTATGGTAATTGATTCATTTACATCTCTCTTCTGTTCAGAATACAGATCCAGGAGATAATTAGGATGGAGAAATTTATTATTCACAAACTCTTGTATAAACCAACCTTGGGCCTACTGTATGTTGTTTGTGTCAGATCCCTTCTTTAGGTGTCAAGAAATCAGTTACCCCAGGAATTGCTAATCTTTTCTGCTTCTTGCAGGTGTCCTTGCGTTCTTCTTCTTCACACAGAGAATACCAGTCTTTGCCAAGGAAGCACCAGCACTAAATTACTACTGGGTACCACTGTTGGTAAGGCAACTATCTAATCCCCTGAACACAGAAAGCAGTTTGAGGTGTTCAGATTAGTCAGGGTGTGTTCTGGTAACAGCTCCTGTCATGCTCTTCAGTGAGGAGTGATCTGTTATATTCTACTCCTCTGGGTTGCTCAGACAGAAGCCACACTGCAGTAACTCTGCACCTTCTGGAAAAAAAGGTTATAGATTTTCTTTGCTCAGACTTCCCAAACAGCAAAGGCTGATGGTGAAGCACCAATGACACTGTGGCTTCTAATGGAAGAAGTCTGTGATGTGTCTCTTCTTGCTTCTGTAGCCCATGTAGACTCTGGAACAACTCCAGGATGACTGATTCCTTAGATTACTGTCCTGAAGAAGTTCAGAATGTGCTTGCAGATATTCTCCATGGAGGTTGAAATGGCTTCAGTTTGACAGCTGAAAAAGTGGTGGCTACTGCATGCAGTGTCTTGAATGTCTAATCCCTTTCCACAGCATCAGTAGCATCTGATAGAATTAAGGAGATGCAATTAAATCTTCCAAAATTTGCTTAGCAGAGTAGGCATCTGACTTGTGTTAACATCGCCTCACTGTTGTCAAGCTAACATTTGGGGTTTTATTGTGGTTTGTGTTTTGTAGACTGTCATTATTGGCTCCTACCTAGTGGCACACGGGTTCTTCAGTGTCTATGCAATGTGTGTTGATACACTTTTCCTCTGCTTTTGTAAGTACTGAGCTTTCTTTCATTAATACCTGCAAGTCACAGAAGGAGAACAAAACCACTTTTTCTGTTCCTTACAGAATTCTGTTTACATGCTTGGAGATTGAGTGAGGAAAAGTACTACTTTGCTTTTCAGACTCACTCTTCGATGCATGCTTGTGTGCAGAAGTGTGTCTCGGTCTTAAAGTAAGAGAAGGGAGTTGCAGCTCATGTGGATACCTGGCTTTTCTTTTTCAGATGTTCTTTAACTATTACTAACAGTTTTCTTCTGAGTGCTTTGCATAGAGACCTCTACAACAAAACTTCAATCTTTTTGTTAACGACAAAGTTATTTTTTGGCATATAAGTAGCCTGTTTTAAAAAAGAAAAGAAGAAAAAGAAAACAACCAAAGTATCATGCTGAATTACCTTGAAATTTGTGTAGAATACCACTTGAAAAACTATCTGTCCTTTGTATTCCCCAGTGGAAAACAGTCTGTGGTATGCTCAAAAGAACTACTGTTCAATTTTAATTTTTTCTTTTTAATTTTTCACGAAAATAAATCATTTTATATCAAATCAGTACATCAGTATAAGAAGAGGATGTACTTATTACAGAACACATTCAATTTGCTGGGCTGACTGAATTAAGGAAATAAACAGACTTTTCTATGATGAAGTCATTCTGGTAGGTCTGAGTGAAAGTTGGCAAATTTTTCAGTATTAAAGCAACACTGAAATAGTTATAGCCTTGATCTGCCACATACAGAGTGGATCACTACAGCAAGATAAAGATGGTAGTACTGATTCTTTTAATTACTTTTAATTCTTTTAATTACTGTTGTATAAGGAAAGGGTGGCATTCTGTAGAGTAGCTGTATTTCACTTCTTAATTCTGTGGAAAATCAGAAGTGCCCCCATTGAAGGAAACAAGTAATCATACTGCTTCTTTCCACTCAGTGAGGAAGGTACATTAATTGGACAGCCAGTGAGAAGTCTGGAAGTTTGTCTGCAATCTGCTGCTGGGTCACCTCTACCAGTGCAGATGTTTATGAGTTTGGCATGCAGGCCTCTTGGTTCATCACTGGCAAAAATGCTCCGCTCATGGCGGTGACTCTGTTGAAAACCACTGCTTTGTAGCTGAGAATTTTCTGTGTTACTGAGCATTTAGCATCTGCCATAGTTTCCAAGGAAATAAATAGGAGTCATTACTTTTGGAGCTACCTTTTATAACCTGCAACTTTGCAAAATTCTTAGGAAAACTAAGTCTATTTCCAAAATGTGTGATTAGTCAGCTGACACTCTGAACTCCATCATCACTAAGCTCTGGTACTGTTACTCCCTGGTGCCCCTTGTACTACTGACTTTCTGCTTGCTCCTGTTTCTTCCTTCACTTGTACTGAGTGAAGGCTGAAATAAAATGAGCAGCACTCCGTGCAAACCTGTCATTCTAAGGCCATACCATTGGTTCTTCTCAGCATGTGTTCCAGATTGTTTTATGTGATTGACAAAATATACTAGGAATTTCCTTCTTTTCTCATGAAGTTCCAGCACTGTGATTATCCCTGCACAGTTGAAAAATCTCTGTTTTATGTGTGAGATAATACCAGGCTAGTGTAAAACAATAGGGTGTTGTTAAAAGAGCTCATGGACACACATTTAGTATGTCCTAGGACATTTTGTCAGTGTTAAAGGCACGAGCAGACATCCATCTGACACTACTAATAATCATCCAATTAAATAAGTTAAAATGAAAACAAATAAACACATAAATGGTTACTCAAGTTATTGAGAATAAAACGCAAATTAATCAAACTGATAAAGTTTAGGAAGTTGATTGGCACACTCCAAACTAACAGATTTTCATTTTAAGTTACTCCAGACACCTCTAGCTCATTTATATGCGCGGTACATGCTGTCATGGAGATACATAAAGGTTTGCTTTCTCTGACATCTTTGGCCGTTCCATACAACGAGTGCTTTCTGTTTGGCTTTTCAGAAACAGCTGCCTGCCTTTGCAAGGCTGCAGTTGCAGTAACTCTTCTCCACTGCACACTCTTTCCAGATTGCCCTTCAGTGTGAGATTGTTCACCTATGTGTGCAGGGCATTAACTCTGGGCTGAACCCAGACCACTGATGCACAACCTTCTGTAGGAAAAAAAGGAATACACCCATCTCATTATTTTAAATCCATGTTCTGTTTTGCTTCCCGTGCTTCTATTTAGTGTTGTAGAGTAGGAAATACTGTAGGATATTGTGCACTGACAGCATTAGGTTTCTTGGAGAACTTCATCTCAAGCACTGAAAAAAGGTCCAGTTGAAAAAAGTGCTTAAACCCAAAGCTATCTCTGGGTCAAAACGTCGGGCTGCTTTAGAAGAAAAGTGGCCACCAGCGTGGAGGCATTGTGAGTTCCTGAAAACCTCACTTACAGCACCAAAGCAAAGAAATGGAGAACAAAAGGATTTATTGCTGTCATTTTAAAATAATTAGATGTGTGCCTCTGCTTTATGTAAAACAGTGTCTGACTTGCGGAAAAAAAGTTGTTTTATGGTGTCCTTCAGCATTTTAACAATTCAGAACATTCCCCTGAGAGTTTTTAAAATGTTGATTCTTTTGCTCTCTCCCTTCTTCAACTCTCTCTCTTTCTCTCATGCGTGTGTTTGGTGTTCCGCTGTTTGCTGCTTTGCTGCGTAAATTCAGGTGAAGACCTGGAACGAAATGATGGATCTACAGCAAAACCCTACTTCATGTCAGCTAGCCTTCACCGAATTCTAGGGAAGAAGGAGCTAAGCCCTAAGAAGGCCATAGGATAACATGCAATAAACCTCAGCATCAAAACAGTGTCACTTTTAAGCAAAATGTGTATAAATTAGGCACAAGTAAATACTGTAAATGATGCTTCTGGTTAATAGGTGATTCTTTTTTCCTCTTGCTTACATCTTTAAAAAATCAGCAGCATTGATAATGTTTTATTAGTTTAAAAGCTTAAGCTAACAGCTGTGAAACGAGGCCACATTTTAGTCTATAGAGTGCCTATGGAAAAAATGTAAATTTGAAGCTTTTGTAAGTCTATAATAATGTTTTAATAACTTTTTTAACACAAGTTGCTGCCTTAAATGACAGCAGTTTTGATAACATTTCTTTTTATAAGTGTATATTTGTAAAAGATATTCAGGCAATTTTTTGAAAGCACTAAATGTAACCTAATTAGCCATAAAAAAGATAGTTTGGGAGTCTCTAGTTAACCAGAGACGCTACTAAATTTGTAAATATGGTGCTATGATTGTATTTTTTGTACATGCTGGTTGTCAGCTATTTAAACTGTGATTATACATGCATTAATGGTTCCCTACACTGAAAATGTAATAACATTTTAATCCCGTTGACAACTGTGTGTTCTAAGAAATGATGGTACGCTGTAGTCCCGAAGAAAGTAATCTGAGAAGACTACTCTGTCTTCTGTTGGTACTGCTTAAGGTGAAGTCTTCTTTCAGTTGTGCTTAAAAGATGATATAATTGAGACAGGATCCCATGGTGCTTAAAAAAGGGACTTGTGGTTCACACAGACGAAGTTCTATCTGATCCAAGTTGGCAAAGATATCATTTTCTAGCTGATGTGTAAAAGACAGATGCTTGTGTTAATATCCCGTCTTTAATGAGTCTTTGTATTCTACATTATGAGGAAGTTGAGCTGCGCTGAAAGGAAAACAAAATGCGATATTTTGTTTTCCTTGGAAGAAAGTCTTGGCTGCATATGTACACAAGGATCTCCACTGCGTCTGCCTAGTTCAGGAAGGCTTCTCAGTAGGTATTGCAATGGCAGTGTGGGTTCTGAGATCCAAGGAGTGCACTTTCTACAGGTCTCTGGTCTCTCAGTGGCTTATACAGTAAGATACGGAAATAATAAGATATTGAACTTGAGTCTCCTCGTGATGCAGCATTAATTAGCTACTGGAAGAAACTCCAAAAGATTTGGTGTCCTATTTGAGACTCATTAAGATTATTGGTTGTTAGAATTTTATTTTAGTTTTTTTTTTTTTTTTTTTTTTTTAGAAAAAGCATATCAACATTCTGTTCAGGTCTATGAACCTCCCTTTAGTAGAACTGTTGCTGGGTCGCGTTACAGCTCTGCTCATAAAAAAAATCTTATACTCTGTCTACAGAGTGCATTTCAAGTTTATTACTGGCATGAGCTGAACTAGAAAAGTTTTGAGGCATGCCACTAGTTTTCACAGATTCCACAGTACGAAATGAGGTATTCCATTACCACTTTCAAGAGCTGGCATGTGACATACCTCTTCTAAATCCATGGCAGGAATTCGGCCGCTGGAAATACTTTGCTAGCCCAAAGAGTCTCTTGCTATTACAGAGAGAAAGGCAAATTCTTTTCCAAATGATCTGAATTCTTATTTCTGGGGAAAATTTGCTGAGAATACATATTCCAAAGTGATTTCTGCTCTCTGACTTATGGCTTCAGCTTGTGATCATTTGAATCACAACAAAGACAGAAAGACTATCCTTTATGCAATAGGCCTGGGGTTAAGTTAATGCACCAGTGTTACCACCCACCTGCTTGAAGTCATGGGCGCGATGGGATCTCATGAAGTCCCGTGAATGGAGGTACAAGCAGCAGGATGCTGGTGTGAGCTCTCTGATCCAGCAGGCACCATAGCTCTTCCCCCTGAAGCATAAATGAGTGGTTCACTTTTGGACTTAAATAATGTAAAATAAAGGCATACAGTTTCCAACTGAACTAGTGACTGTGGGCACCTTTGGTTTTTGAGAACCTCACTTGAGATATTATAAACTTGACTTACAGAAAGGGCTGAGAAATAGAGCTTCTGAAAACTGACTTATGGTTTCTGTCTTCATCATCTTTCCTTTCTCATCACACGTGTGGCAGTGAATATTGAAACCCCTATTACTTGGATGTCATCCGAGAGAATTAAGCCAATAACATTATGGGCATATGTCAGTGTTAATAGAAATCTCACTCGTCTGTGGTGATGGTCCATGCTCTACTTATTATCATCTTTTAACTACCACGTAATCAGTTTGCAGCTAAAGAAACTGCATTAGGTAATCTGTATTTTGCTACTGGACCCCAGACTCCTTCTGGGACCTCAGCTGAAAAAGCTCATTTCTGAATACAGTGTGCTTTTTTTATCATATGAATGTAACCATAGAGATTATTAGGAATAAAGTGTAACAGAGTAGTGGACAGTTATTTGATTAGAGGACTTTTGTAACAAACCTATGCATTTACTAAAGGAATTTCTAAAAGTGAAAGTTTTAAATTGCATTATTATTTATATACAGTAAATATATATAAATGTGTATAAATCGCTCCACTCACTATTTTGTGAAAATAAATTATTTAGAATGTAAGTGATCATCATTTCTGAGAAGAAAACTTAAAAGCCATTTTCTTTATGATATAACTAAGAGAACTGTGAAAATAAAAGCAATATTAATTTTGTAATCAATAAACTGAATAAACGAGTAATAATGATTTAATAGTAAATCTGGCTTAAAAAAAAATAAACTACTATTAATGAAATAAGTAGAAATTATTGCAAGTATTTAGTTGGAAAACATTCACTGAAGTTTTTAGGTGATGATGATGGCCCCGATTAGTCCTGTGGAGCGGTGTCCAGAGGTTTACACCACAGGCACTAGAGGCAGCATCTGTGGACTGGGACATTACCTTGTTGCTTAATTTAGAATAAAATTTAAAGTTCCGTTCTTTGCTTTAGAGTGGAACGTGTGATTAAGTGTAACACAGTAAAAGGTTACGTTTTCTTTGATCCTAAGCCAACAGGAGTTTCCTCTGTTTCCACGAGGCGCGGGGCAGCGCTGCGTGGTGCCAGGCGGTGGGTGGCCCTGTCACAGTCCGTAAGGGATGGACTGGTGGGACCTGGAAGCCCAGAAGCTTGTCTTGGTGCTGCTGTGTGTGAGGGACTCAGCAGGTGCTGGTGGGATTTCTGCCCTCCTGCCCAGCCCCAGGCTGCGCATTTTTCTGGCTAGTGGAAGAGCTGGAGAGACGGGATGGCTGTGAAGAAAGGCCCCTTTTTGTGCATCAAACTTCTTTGGAAGTTCTTGGACAAGTAGAATGTAGAAACTAAGAGATACTAGAAAATAGCCAGTGTCATATCCATGCAATACGCTTGCTTCAGTTCTGATTTAATTCATTGTGTCTCCCTGTGATATATTAATGGCTGGCTTTTATTTGCATGTCTTATACCAAAGTTTTAATGTCGAGCCTTCAAATTTTGTAAAGAAAACAAACAAAAAAGGAACCTCCTCCCTCCAACTCCC